CTCACCTCTATCAACACGTATATTGGAATCAACATGTTCGCCTCTCTGGTCAGTGACATTCAAATCCAAATCTTCACCTCTACCATCATACATGTTGGAATCAACAATTTCACCTATAGGATCAGTGACATTTAACAACTCAAAAGCTTCAATTCTACCGTCATACATATCGGAATAAAAAACTTCATCTCCAGCGTCATAAGCATTCGCATTATGATTAAAAACATTTTCTCTGCTGCAATCAGCATTCACAAAAAGAGACCCATATCTACCATCATGCACATTCACATCATGAGCCTTATCTCTAGCATCACACATTTTCATATCAAGAACCTTTTCTCCACCATCGTTTACATTCACATCTGTTTCTCCATCATTGTGTATTGACATACTCAAATCAAGAACATTCTGAAAATGACTAGATCCAGCGTCATGCAGGTTAGCAGCAGTTTCAGTGACAATATTCTTCCCAATAGCCTCATTGAGTTCAAAATACACTCATCATCATCATCCAGTGCCAGATCTGCGACAGACATCGGCGATCATGATTTTCCATTCATTCCTTTGCTCGGATGCCCTCAGAAAAGCTACGTTTCCCTGATTTTTCCTTGTTATCCATTTGTTTAGGTTCCCTAAGTATGTTGTTCTGGGCCTACCCCTGCCTCGCTTGCCTTCAATTTTGCCAGTGAGAGCTAGATGTTCAAGACCCTTATGTCTATTTAGGTGTCCCAAAAACTGCATTTGTCGTTTCCTGATTGTTTTTAACATTGAGCGTCCCACGTGGGCTTCATCAAGCACTACCTCATTTGATTTCTTTTCCTTCCACGATACTCTTAGCAGTCTCCTAAGAAACCACATTTCTGTTGCCTCTATTTTACAAAATACACTAAATCACTGCTATTCACTGACATATCTAACAAATGAGTAAATGATATATCCGAAAAATTATCAAGTGGTTCATACAGAGAAAACTCGTGGGCATGTCCCTCTGATGAGTGAGGACGGGCATTTCCCTTAGAGAGGTGCTGGGTATGTCCCATTGACTGTGGTCATGGAGGCTTCACTGGAGGGTTTGCTGCTACCTTTTTAGACAGCTGTAACAGTTTATAGCCTCGTGAAAAGTGGTTCATGAATTCAATATAAATAATAATATAAGTTATTAAATCTATAATAAAGTAGTGCTTCATCTAAAGTAAAAGTAAATTTGAATGTTTCAAAAAATAATCCCCACTTTCAATGGCGTTTGACTTTGGGAACCATTTATCTTATAGCGGGTTAAAATATAATAACGACCAATCCACATTGCTGAGATACATCTATAACTAATTAAAACCCAACAATTAATCAACATTGATAAGATCTAAACCCGTGACTAACAATACTCAATAATTAATCTATATTATTGAGATCTAAACGGCGTCAATGGGCTTAACCATTAACATGAAAACTAAACGCGTACTGTAAGTCATGACAATCTCGCAAGTCACCATGAAGCTTACAGAATTATGAGCGACTTTGTAAGCTCTAGACGCTGATGTCACAATGTATCACACAAAACAAAGATTTATCTAAATATAAACACATAATAATTTTGAAAAGTATCTTATATACACATTTTAATATGATGGAAGAAATGGCATAACTCGCCTGTAGGCTGTTACTTGAATAAAAAATGAAACAAATTATTGTTTTGAACGAAGGTGCCTGGCCGGGACTTCTGCGTTTAGAGTCTCAAATCATGGTGAAATCCTGTTACGCCCGTTTAGAATCATCCGTGATAAAAAGTGCAATTTTCATTGGTTCAGTGACTTTAATATTTATAGAGTAGTGAAATAAAACCGAAATATAATTCTCCAAAATTCCGGACTTTCGCGTTTACAGACTTACAGGTATATATATATATATATATATATATATATATATATATATATATATATATATATATATATATATATATATAATAAACAATCAGGAAACGACAAAAGCAGTTTTTGGGACACCTGAATAGACACAAGGGTCTTGAACATCGAGCTCTCACTGACGAAATTGAAGGCAAACGAGGCAGAGATAGGCCCAGAGCAACCTACTTAGGGAACCTAAACAATTGGGAAACAGGGAAAAATCAGGGAAACGTAGCTTTTTTAAGACTAGAGCATCCGAGCGAAGAAATGAATGGAGAACTATAATCACCAATGTCTGTCGCAGACCTGGCACTGAATGATGATGATGATGATGATGATGATGATGAGGATGATGATGATGATGATGATGATGATGATGATGATGATGATGATGATGATGATGATGACGATGATGATGATGATGTTGATTCTGTCGCAGTGCTTGCATGTCAGTGTCGTAGATCGAAGCTCTGTATTTCCGCTCTTTTCCTTTCGTCGTTGGTGCTTCTCAGCCTGGTTGTTTCTACAGCTACTCTCTAGCATTATAGTTCTTTCCTTTATCATTTTCCTCCATGTTTTCCTGTCTTCAGCTATTTCTTCCCATCTACTCCATGCTTAGATAAGCTGTTTTTGCAGGTGTCTTTGTACCTCAATTTTGGTCTTCCTCTAGGTCTCTTTCCCTGGGCAAGTTCTCCATAGAGAAGTTGCTTCGGAATCTGGTTGTCGTCCATTCTCTTGACATGGCCCAGCCACTGCAATCTTTTTAAACACAGGATAGATGTCATGCTCTGGAGGTTTGTGCGTGCCAACACTTCAACATTTGTAACTTTGTCACGCCACGAAATGCCCAAGATCTTGCGGCAGCATCTGAGATGGAAAATGTCGAGGCGCCTTTCTTGTCTGCTGTACAAGGTCCATGTTTCAGATCCATAAAGGTGTGTGCTGAGGACACATGCTTCGTAAATCTTAATCTTTGTTTTGATGGTTAATCTTTTGTTTTCACATGCTCGTTTTGTCAGCCTTCCAAAAGTTGTTGCTGCTTTCCCTATCCTGGTATTGATCTCATAATCAAGTGATGTAGTAGAGCTGATGGTAGACCCCAGGTAACAGAACTTGTCCACTGTTCCAAGTTCCTTGTCGTTCAGCCATATATGGCTCTGCTCTGCACCTTCTTGGGTAAGGATGACTGTTTTCTTAACACTGATGACCAAGCTAAAGACCTTGCATGCTCTTGATAGGTGGTCCATCATTGTTTGTAGGATTGATTAACTGTGAGCAACAAGAGCAGCATCATCGGCGAAGAGAAGGTCTCGTACTGTTGTTTTGTTGATCTTGGTCTTGGCCTTGAGTCGAGCAAGATTGAAGAGCGACCCATCATTTCTCCAGTGGAGGAAGACATCCCCTGGTGACTCTTTAAATGTGTGTTACAGTAAGACAGCAAAATAAGTGCTAAAAAGGGTTGGTGCTAAGACATAACCTTGCTTTATTCCGCTATTGATGTTGGAACTGTTTGATGTTGAACCGTCAAACTGAATGGTGGCCTTCATATCTTCGTGGAATGAGATGATGAGCTGTAGTAGTATTGGGGGACAACCAATTTTTCCCAAGCACCATGTGCAGTCCTGATCTACAGACTGTATCAAAAGCCTTTGTCAGATCGACGAACGCAGTATGTAATGGTAGTTGCTGCTCCCTGCATTTTTCTTGTAGCTGACGAATAGAAAAGATCATGTTCATTGTTGAGCGGTTTGATCTGAAACCGCTTTGGCTCTCAGGTAGGACTCTTTCTGATAGTTTCTGAAATCGCTTCAGGATGATCCTAGCGAAAGCCTTTCCAGTGATGCTTAGCAGTGAGATACCCCTGTAGTTGTTGCAATCTCCTTTGTCCCCTTTGTTTTTGTAGAGTGTGGTGATTTTGGCATCTCTCATGTCATGTGGAATTTCTGCTTTCAGCCAACAAGTCGTTAGTAGCTTGTAGAGATATGGGAGGAGGGTCTCTTTGTTCTCTTTCAGCACTTCAGCAGGTAGGTTGTCATTTCCTTCTGCTTTTCTGCAGCGAGTTCATCGATAGCAGAGGAGAGTTCTTCTTCTGTTGGTGTTGTACCAAGTTCTGACATTTCGGAGAGTTGAGGAATGGCCTCATGTAGCTGTCTATCAACACGTCGTTCCTTTGAGTATAAGTCTGAATAATGTTCCACCCATCTTTCCATTTGTTTCTTTTTGTCTGTCAGCTGTTCACCTGTCGCAGACTTTAGAGGTGCCACTTTGTTTGTTGTTGGTCCAATAGCAACTCTGA